TGGTGGTGGTGGTGGTGGTGGTGGTGGTGGTGGTGGTGGTGGTGTTACCCACCTCATAAGGTTAACATATATACATGCATAGCAGCAGCCAAATTTTAAAGGAAACTTCCTTATATCTAGAAGTGGCCAAACACCAAAATAAATGTTGGTGCCTCATCATTTTTTGGTCATGATTTCAACATGCTAGCACGAACAGATGGACTGGTAGATGAAGGGTAACCCCAATTTACCCTTTTCGCCCAGCAAGGGGTACCAAAAAGTGGGTGTGTTGGGGTGGGGTAGACTCTTCAGTCTGAAACCCTGGCATTATATTATTTCTTAAATTATTTATTTTTTTGTAAAACCCCTGAAAGCAAGATTAAAGTTAATAGTGGTTGGATATAATGAGACTACCTGTCTAAATTAAAGGTAAATGACTGTATATTTTTTCTTTTCTTTTTTTCAGTGTTTTGCAAAGTGACTCTAATGCTTTAAAACATTAATAGAAATAATAAATATGTGCAATAAAATTATGTTGAGTGACAATCTTTACCTTCAGGAAAAGCTTCTTTGCCATTAACACTTCACTTTGCTACAATTAATACTGTTGGATTTATGTACGTTTCTTTTATTTAGTCAAAGAAAGAGCCAAGCAGGTTGCTCTCTGTGTTTGTGAACATTTAGCCTTTTAGTTTGTGAATGCCAGAATATAACAGATGTCAGTAAAGTGGTCCCTCAGTAGGGAAGGCTGGTGAACACTAATGGAAGCAGTTACCTCACTAACAAAATGGACCACTCAGAGACAGGGATGGTCCATTTGTGCACGGGGAGAGCAGGTGCACTGACACGAATCAAACAAACACTAAATATTTTCTTTCTTGGCTTGTCCATTTTGTGCACTTAGGGAAAAACTGTGGCCTCAAATTTATGTCGAAATCATGTTTAGATTGATGTCATGTTGTGTACAGTTGGATTAAACACATTTCTGGACTAAACCATCATTGAGCCTTTTTAAAGGGATGCAAGGAGCATCAGAGAACATTTATCATTATTATTTATGACAATATTTAAGGCTTTAGAGTGGGTCCAAAAAATTAGAGGAAAAAAGGTTATAATTTGCTCAGATTCACACAACGCATTACCAAGTATTCAGGAGGTACATTAAGACTCAAGGTAAGATATTATATAGGATATAACTCACTGAATTTTCAGGATTAAAAACTATGGTTTAGAGATTAATCTAGTATGGATTCCTGCTAGGGGTTGAACGATTACATAATTTTTAACTCGACATTAACATAATAAAACTCGAGTAGAACTCGTGTACTTGATGACATCATAGGATCTAAAGATACAAAAATAAATAAATAAAAACAGCAAAAAAGGTAATTATTTACAAAAAAAGACCAACAAAACATTGGGAGCATATATTGTGCTCCTACCATTTATCATACTGCAAATAAGTCACAGGAAAAACTAAATTATTAGTTATTGTTATTAAGCTGCAAAAGTGAAAGAAACATGCATCATGTAAAAAACGAAACTAAAAACAATGGGGCGGTCGACCACCCCGCACCACCACCAGCTGTGGTGTGCATTAGGTTTAGAGATTAATATGTTTATAGGTTTTTTATAGGTTTAGAGATTAATATGTTTATAGTTTTTTTATAGGTTTAGAGATTAATATGTTTATAGGTTTTTTATAGGTTTAGAGATTAATATGTTTTGTTTTTTGTTTGTGAAACAAGGTCAGAGGAAGCTGGTTCTGGTTCAGTTGATTGGACCCGGTGTTACACCATATTCTGTGACCCGCAACAGTGCATGCAACACCGCCCCTACAGTCACAATATACGGTGGTCGCAGAATATGGTATTACACTGGTTTGCAACGAGCTCCAAACAGTCAGGAAGTTGATTCATTTTCTGTTTCCTTACGGTAGTTGAACAAGAAGATTCATCTTTAATGAAATATTTCCATACTATTGATGCATTTCTACCTGTTTGCCAAGACTGGGCCTGCTCCGCTCAGTCCATCTGCTGGGAGGAATCCATTTTGTAGTCCGCACCCGGTGTGGATCACGTGACACAATGACGTAATGGCGACATAATGACGTCACTACAAATACTCAACGCAAAATTTAAAAACTCGATAGATGTCCTAGGAATCAATGTGAAGATTACTCAAGTACTCTATTAAAGCCCTAATATATATACACAATAGTCCTTCGTTTATCGCTATGGATCCGTACCCTGAGGACCGGCGATAAGTGAAAAAACGCAAAGTAGGAATATTAGTACAAGTAGTAAGTAGTTTATTTTATACATATATATATATATATATATATATATATATATATATATATATATATACAATAGTCCTTCGTTTATCGCTATGGATCCGTACCCTGAAAATGACCATGTAAATTGTATCCAATCAATGCAACTCTGACCAGCAAAATGGGCGTTAACTGAGTTGCATAAATTAATTTTGATTATAACCTCCTCTCAAAGTTTAGAGGGAAACATTGACTTTGCTTCGTTTACCCAGTAACACTATTTATTCACAGATGTACATTTGGGGTTTTCACACAATACAGGTACACAACAGGTGGTCCGTTTGAACCTCTGTGTAATTGACCAACTTCCGTTGCCATGGTGATCACACCCCTGTTGTCCTGGGGGTATGACACAGTTCAAAAACTTTTTCTTTGATATAGACTTTTTGGAGGCGCAAAGTCTATAGGAAGGAGAGGTGATTACCAGCGAGGGGGTAGACCCTGTGAGGAGTCATTTTGTCTGACCCAGGAAGGGTTGATTAGCAAAAGGGGTTAATTACTACAGTCTTGTTCGGTGTCTCTGAGGACAGGATGGGGACATCTCTGAGGGACGTAGGACACTATACTTGGAAATATGGTTGAACAATCAATAAGTTGTGCATGGTTCAGACAGTCATTCAACCTGGATCCTTAACACCAATAGTTCTCTAGTCTCTACCTCTAGTTCTCTCTATGGAAGTAATAGGATAGGAACACACAGATAGACAATGCTTTAATAAGTAAACATGTTTTGGACATTCTGACTACAACCTAGGTCTGCTTGAAACACTGTGACCTTGGGACTAGGCACAGTTCACATGATGCTGTTTGTGAGTTTATATAAATGCTTCTTTAAAGGCTTTATCAGAGCATTTCTGCTGTGTTCCAGCCATTTGTCTACATAACAGCTGTTATTCTCTCTGTCATCAAAGCTTGTCGTATCCAGGCCTCAGAGATGCGGTTTTAGGAAACGCCCAGTATCTGTGTGAAACTGCTCATGCTCTCTACAGACGCCTACAGGTTGTTTGTGCTTGTGCAAGTAGATGAGCAACAGTGACAATGGTGAGTAACAGAATGCTATTTGTGCTGCCCGCTCTTCTTCAATATAGAAGAGCAACCCAGCCTCATCCTCAATCCAAACATTTTTCACCATTTTGGATGTAACTGTTTTCATGCTTGAGACTGAAGTACACACTGTTCGTTAATCAAACTAAACCATACATTATTTTAATTTGCTTTTTTAAGGCCTCTACAATAGCTCTTTAAATGCCCTCAGCTTGAAAATATAAAGCTTCCCTTTGACCAGATAGATGACCCAATGACTAGTTGAGTCAATCTGATAGCAATATAAAACTTTATATATTAGCATTGTAGCATTTGCGTGAAATGTTAAAAAAGTTTTAGATTGTTGTAAAGTTGTCATAAAGACTGTTGTGAAGCTTTAGAGAGTCACTTTTAAATGGATAACATCCGCGTTGCTCTTGGGCCCACTCTGACAAGAGCTCATCATTCTGTCTAGAATCAAATGTTATTTCTTCAAATTGAGGTTGTTCAAAGAGCTTTTTACATCAGAGGGATATTAATTATTCATAACCTTTCTATAGAAAACGTCTTCAAACGTACTTATCTTATGGCACTTCTTCAAGTCCAGTAAGATCTAAGCACTGTTGCAAACATACGAAAAATCAACTTAAAAGGGCACTTTTTGCTAAAATAATTAATTACTTAATTGATTAAACTTCACTGAGCAGATGATGTCAGATTCGTCCGCATATTTAGAAAACAAACGTTTTATTTCTTGCATAGAGTAACATATTAGGCAGCAGTTTGAGCCTCTTCTGGTATCAAATTTAGGACCAATTTTCTATTCGACAAGTTCAAAATAAAGTGAAACTTAAGTAGTAACTGTCTAAGTTTGTAGTTTTATCCAACTGTTTATTTACGTGTTGAACAACTTTTGTTATGTCTCTGCTGAGTCAGCATATATAGGTGTGGTTTACATTTCTGTGCAGAAATAATTTACAATAATTAATGATGGATCATTGTAACTTCTATGAGTTATTAGAATACAAAGAAGAAACTGCAAATACAGAAAAAAAAATATGAAAAATACATTTAAACTAAAATAATACATCATCCTATGACTTTACAAGAGTAAACAATGCATGCAAATGATACAAAATACAAATATTCAAACTGTGGTAATTCTCCTGATAGCGTCGATTTTCTCCTCGTGAAACTCTGAGGTTTGGCTCCGACTGTGCAGCGAGACACTGATGGAGCGCACATCAGGAACCTGAAGAACGACAACACACTATTGGTTGCTTTGACAACACATCTGTACTTTCTTCAGAGCAGCTAGTCACAGGAGGGAAGTAAAAAAAAAAAGTATATTTAAAACTGTGAAACCCTTCTTTGAACCAAAATTATCCTTAATGAGTCAATAATCAGTCAAAAAAAATGTTAAAGTGATGGTCTGTTACTTAAAGTATGACATCAAGTCAGAGTGACTTCTGGACAGGAGGGAACTATAGAAGACGCTGCATTTGAAAACGCTACTTGTGCTGTGTTTATGTCAATGAATCCAGAAAAATCTTCATTCCAGACATCACTGGCTGTCCTGATAGAAATGTATTTGTCTGCAAGCTTATATGCCAAATTCTAAATAAAGACCCCACATATTTAAGCCATTTAATAAAATATATCTAAGGAAGCAGCAGACTGTGTTGAATCTTCACGACATCACAGTCTCCCATCCTGAGCAAGCACAAAGGTAACAGGGGAAAGGAAAACTCCCTTTTAACAGCAACAGAACCAGGTTCAGGACAAGCAGCCATCTGCTTCAACCAGCTTCAACCCCATCTGTGATGGGGCAACCCCCAGCAACTACCAAAGCCAAGTTTTAGCTAAATATCTGGGGAGTGGTGGCGCAGAGGTTAGAAGGTGGGCCAGTGATCGGAAGATCGCCGGTTCATGCCCCGGTACCGACAACATCAAAAATGTGGGTGAGGTAGGTGAAGTACCCACACTTGCCCCCACCCTCATTCACCCCACTCTGGGCCCATGAGCAAAGCCCTTAACCCCCACCATCTGCTCCCTAAACAGGTCTCTCTTGAAAATGAGTTCTCGTGGCTCAAAGAGACTACCTGGATAAATAAAGTGTAGATGAAAAAAAATCTGAACATGTGGCTGAATTACAGTTATTTTACTGTTTGCTATAGTCAATTAACTGTGGCTCGTAACTTGATTTGGGTTTAATCCAAAAGTTGTTTAGTTTTAGATGTGCATCCATTGATTTATTTCTGTGGTTCACAAGATACTTTGCTAACAGACAAATTGGTTTGACTCCTGCAGTTAATGCTAATGCTTAAAGCAGACATTTTGTACCATTGGTAGCACTTAAAGTATGCATTGTGTATTACTCTCAGGTTCATCTCCACCAGAATTTAGCACACTTTCTGTAAAACTGACTGCATTA